CAAGTTCGAGACCAGCCTGGGCTACAAAGTAAGCTCTGGGCCAGCCTGAACTGCAGAGTGCAACTCTGCCCTCAAAAAGACAAAAACAATAAATAAATAAAAAACAAAAAATAAAAGACAATCGCCATTCCAGTGCAATCCTCAAAACTACAAACGAGGGACTTGGTTTTAGCACTTTAGTATCCTATCAATGCACAGAGGGCACTGGCTATATGCATGAGCAATAAATACGAAGTTTTCATCCCAGAGAGCCTCAAAAGAAAAGGAAAAGCCATATATCCCACAAGGCTAAGAGTCACCCGTCTGTAAACCAGACCTTGGGTTCCAGCCTTTGTTCTAGCCTAACAACAATATAACTGGCTAGGAATCTGGAGGGGACCATAGGCGCCATTTTGCTCTGCAAGATGGTAACAAGATATTCAAATACCCTGCAAGTCAGGAATAAAAACAAAGTCCGAAGTGGCCACAGTACAGTGGAACTGCTGCAGGGCTTTAACATGCTAACACACGACACAAATTTCAGAGCTGAGACTTCCAGTTAGGGCAGGTCTGGTGGTCCATGAATATAATCCCAGCTCAGGAGGCAGCAGTATCACGAGTTCAAGACCCGTGAGTCCCAGGCCAGCCTAGACTCTACTAGACAGGCACTGTCTCAAAACACCCAAAAAAAAAAAAAAAACTTTAATAAACTAAATTGAGTGAGATCCTGAGAAGAGTTTGGAAAGTTTCAAAGGTATCTTTGGATTTGATCGCAGTGTTATTAGGTACATTAGAAGAACATCTGAAAGCTACTTACCTGATATGTGTTGCAGGCAGAGATTCATACTGCCGGGACAGGAAGAGCTCCCGATGCTTCAGCTGGTGTTTCTGCTTATCAGTCAAGTCGATCTCAACTGTTGTTTCAGATTCTTCCTCAATTTCCTCTGTATAAATAAAATCCAAAGAATCCATTATTACAAACCATACTATCTCTCTGGATACTAAGAATTAAAAAGATGGGTCAAAAAAAAGATAGGTCAAATCAACATTTCATATTCTTCAAACTAATCCATTTTAAATTTATGTACTGTCATTTCAATTTTTTTGTCATTTCAATTATAAGCATAAAATTAAATCCTTTGGGCTCCAAGAAGAAAAACTCCAATTTAAAAATGGCAAGCGGGCAGGGGTGTGGGTCAGTGGTAGAATGTGTGACTAACGTCCACAAGGCCCTAGGTTCAATCTGCAGCACCACACACCCAAAATTAATTAATCAGAAAAGGAACATGTACAGGAACATGTACATCATCTCTTCTTCCAATAAAACCATACCAAGAGGGCAACGAAAACGTGGTAATGTTTCAATGACAGTGAAAAATGAAGCAGAAAAAAGAATTTCAACTAAATAATAAATCTGTAAACTGAAAAGCAGACCAGGCATGGTGATATTCACCTACAATCCCAGGACTCCAGAACACTGAGGCAGGAGGACTGGGAGTTCAAAACCAGCCTGGGCTCTTAGCAAGACCCTGTCTCCAAATAAAAACAACTAGAAATGTAGCTCAAAGCAAAGGCCTGGAGTTCAATTCTCAGTACAAAAAGAAAGAAAGAGTAAGCAAGCACATGAGCAAGGACTCAAAATACTTAGAAGGGAGGGCAAGGTGACCCATAGCTTACACGGAGCGATGTCAGTGCACAGAAAGGCAAAAACCTCCGCAGATTTAGCCCTCGAAGACACCACCTACTGTGAAAAAGACAGGTGAGGTACCTGAAAAGGGTCAACAGCCGACAGAGAACAGAAAGACAATAAATAAATAAATCCCACAACACTGTCTTTAGAAAGGAAATAACCAGAAAACAACAACATACAAGCTTCAAATTTGGTAACACAAATACTAAACTAATAGAAGGAACGGAAGGTAAAGCTAAAGCAATCTCCCAGAAATTAGAACACAAAGAGATGAAGAGTTGAAAACTATGACTTGAAAAGAAAAGAAAAGAAAAGAAAAGAAAAGAAAAGAAAAGAAAAGAAAAACCCATGAAGGCCAACATCACCATAGTAGAAGTTCCAGAAAGAAAGAGGGGAAAAAAAAAAAAACCACAGAAAACAGATGTCTTCCATTGTTTTTAGACAGACAGGGCTAGAAGAAGACACCTGTACAAGAGGTGATTCAAGAAAACTTCCCCTTCCAGAATGAGATTAGTCTCCAGAGTTCACACAATCTTTAGTAACTGATAATACAGCAAGATCATAAAAGTTTGTTTAAAAAAAAGAAAAAAAGAAGGAAAAAGAAGTCACATACAGCCAGGTGTGGTAGTGCACTTACAATGCCAGAACTTGGGAGGCTGAGGAAGGAGGATCACTGTGAGTTTGAAGCCAGCCCAAGTTACTTAAGCGAGTTCAAGGCCAGCCTGAGCTACACAGTGAGACCCTGTCTCAAAAAAAAAGAGAGAGAGAGAGATCACAAACAAAAGAAACTAGAAGTAGAATGAAACTACTTAGGAGCAGCAAAGGCTAAGAAGGTAAACAGCAATGCTATCCAAGAGGAAAACTGATAATCTTGATAATCTAGAATCATCGTCTATCAACCCTGAGAATACAGTAACAACAACCTTCAATTTAGCAGGTGCCAAATCAGGTACTATTCAAGACACTAGGGCTACTCAATGAACAAAACAGTTATTAAAAAAAAAATTCCAACTAGGCGTCGCGGCGCACACCTGTAATCCCAACACTCAGGAGGCTGAGGCAGGAGGATTGTTGCAAGTCCAAGACCAGCCTGGGCTAGAGAGTGAGCTCAAGGCTGGCCTGAACTGCATAGTGAGACCTTGTCTCAAAAAAAAACAAAAATTTCAAATTTTCTGCCTTTGGGAAGCAGGTTTGGGAAGGAAAGGATGGGAAGATAAGAGAGAAAGTTTTACATGTTACTTTTTAACATTGCATTTAACAATTTCTTTAAAGAAAGGACAATTACAGACATAAAACCAACTCACTTGAGCTGTGGAACTGTGAAAAGTGTAACGCCTTTAGGGCTCACAGTCCTTTGCAGTCTCACATGGAGCCAATTACATGGATGTGGGACAGCGGGAGTGCTAAGGACTAAAGAGTGAGTGGCTCTGAAGTGGGATGGGGCAGACTGGGTCTTCACAGAGCAAGCAGAACCCAAGGGCAAAAACTGGACATAGGATATGCCTGGAAGCCCTTTATCTTCAGACACCAATGGCTGCCACACACACAAAACAACATACTTCTGTGTCTCACAATTCTTATTTCGGGACCCAAGAGCACAAAAGGGATTTTATCAAATACAGTCACCTAGCTGCAGCTGTTCTTTTTTACTTACATGAGAATAATTAGTGCCTGGGCTACTATCAGAAATTTCCTACCATTAAAGCTCTTATGCAGCTGGGCATGGTAGTGCACAACTGTAATCCTAGCACTCAGGAGGCTGAACCAGGAGGATGGTTGCGCATTCGAGACCAGCTGGACTACAAAGTGAGCTCAAAGCCGCGAGTGGTGGCGCACACCTGTAATCCCACCACTTGGGAGGCTGAGGCAGGAGGACCACTGTGAATTCAAGACCACCCTGGGCTACAAAGTGAGCTCAAGGCCAGCCTGAACTGCATAGTGAGACCCCCGTCTAAAAAGAAAAAAAAAAAAAAAGTGAGCTCAGCCTGAACTGCATTGCAAGACCCTGTCTCAAAAAGACAGACGGATAGATAGACAGATAGATGAATCTTTTATGAAACCTGAAAAACTGATTTAAAGGAGAATTATCAAGCTCAAAACAAAAGAATAAGGCAATTTAAGAGCTTTAACCAGGGTATGGTGGTGCCTAAATCTCAACAATCCGGAGGCTGAGCCAGGAGGATCATTGTAAATTCAAAGCCAACCTAGACTAACATCTCAAACTATAAACAAAAAACAATCTTTGCATGTTCTTTTTAATGAAGTACTCAGAGAAATACAGCACTAAAGGGCCATCTACTTCTAAGTCCAATAACATTTCTCCAGTGGAGATCAATGAAGTTATTGCTGCTTTGGCACTACTGGCACCAGCAATATCACATAGAAAATTACACCGTTGGCCTAATTAGAATTTGACATATTGTTCTTATGAAAGACACAACTAATTGAATTCTAACACATACCCTACATAGAATGACAGCAACAAAAACTACAAATAATAGTAACAGCAGCAAATCCCAGTGTGGCAGAGCACACAAGTAATCCTAGCACTCGGAAGGATGAGGCAGGAGGATCACTTGTTAGTTTGAGCCAGCCTGGGCTACGGAGTGAGTTTGAAGCCAGCTGAAGTACACACAGTGAGACCTTGTCTCAAAAAAAAGAAAGATAACAAGAGCAAAAATTTTTTTTTCTTTTTTTGCTGTGCTAGGGAATGAATCCAGGACTTTGAACATGCCAGCCAAGTGTTTTACCTCTGAGCTACAGCCCTGGCCCCAAATTATAATTTTTCTTTTTTTTTTTTCCGTTTTTGAGACAAGGTTTCACCATGACGTTCAGGCTGGCCTTGAACTCAGAAAAGCACTTGTTTTGTGTGTGGGGCAGCCACTGATGTCTGAAGATAACGGGCTTCCAGGCATATCCAATGTCCAAGCTGCCTCCAACCTACAGTGATCCTCTTGCCTCAGCCTCCCAATTGCTAGGATTACAGGTATGCTCCATCACACTGGGCTAAATGGTATTTTCTAATAAAATCTGAGATACGGTCTAAAAAAGACTAAAAACTCTAAAAATCCCACCAAACCAAAGACAAAAATCACCACGAAACTGGGCCAGGGGTACAGCTCAGCAGCACAAGCGCCTGCCTGGCAAGCGTAAGGTCCTGAGTTTGATCCCCGGTACCAAAAAAAAAAAAAAAAACACGAAACCATCTTCCACGATGAAGCCCACAGATAAAACACATTTTTTACATTTAGTAGCTAAATTTTGTTTAAATTTCTATAAATTTGCTCTGGCTGCCAAGCAGAAATGAGTGAATGATTCCCATGTTACTGACATTCTAAAAACATCCAACAACAGCAGTGGAAAAACTTCGCATTTAACCCAGTGTGGTGGCACACAACTGTAATCCCAGCACTCAGAAGGCTGAGGCAGGAAGATCACGTGGAGGCCAGCCTGAGCTACGTAAGTGAGTTCAAGGCCAGGCTGTACCACGTAGCCAGACCCTGTCTCAAATTAACAACAACAAACACTTAGCATTTAGACAAGGAAAATTCTTTTAAAAAAAATTATCACATCAAAATTATATCCAGGAGGCTGGAGAGAACACCCCTTTGCTTTCTTAGACAAGAGGCATTGATAAAGCATACTTCCCTGGATCCCAGTTCAGTAGAGGGGCGAACTATTCTTGAGGATGGGCTTGTTGCTCAGTCAGCCCCAGACAGTGGAAGGGGGCTGCGGAGGACGGCTTTTGCTCGGATGGCTCGCTTGGGATGGTGGTGGGAG